CATTTTAGAAATTTTTAATACGTTATTAGTAATTTAGTATGATTGTCACGATTTGATTTTGATTTGTCCAAATTATCGAAATCCATATTACTAAAATCATTAAAAATAAAATTATAGATATCATAATTCTTGATCGAGTAGTGTCAATTCTTACCACTTTTATATGCATATTTGACATCAAATAAATATAATTTTGTGTTAATTGAAATTTAGGTGCATGCTAATTTATATTTGTATTTTTATCTAAATATTTTTAAAATTTTATAACAAATCTATTCCGTGCAACGCACGTGTAGTAATAATAATAATAATAATAATAATAATAATAATAATAATAATAATAATAATAATAATAATAATAATACACGATTAATACAGCTGTCAATGTAATATTTACAAATTTATTAGATTTTTTACTAAATTAGCAAAACATATTATTAGAACGTTACAAAATCTTTTATCGAATTTTCTAATTACGAATTACGTATTTGACTTACCTAGGGTATTGCACGTGTTTTCCGCTATATATTTATGTTTTTGCTACTTTCTAAACCACACAAAAAAAAAAAAATTAAAAAAAAATCTCGTATATGTTTCTAGAAATGGATGGTTCACGAAATGAAATTGTCAGATTCTACATTCCTTTTTATCAAGAGACTTGCTCAGAACAATTGGTCTGTAAACACTACCAAACCCTATTTTTGTACTTGTAAACAAATCTGATTGATTTTTATTGTGTGTTTAGTTGTTGTTTTGATGTTGTTGAAACTGATATAGGATTTGGACATGTTTTCTTGATAGGAAATTCCGATGTGGTTCAAGGCATTTGTGGGAACAGTTCTTCCAAACGAGATATTCCTTATGAATGAAAGGATGAAAATTTGGACTATAGAGATATCAGAAATTGGGGATAGCCTATATTTCAAGAATGGTTGGGAAAAGTTCGTGGAAGATAACTCTATCAAAACTGGAGATCTCATGATTTTTCGGTACGAAGGTTATGGCATGTTCGAGATTAATGTGATTGATAACCATGCACCCTAATTGATAAGATAATACTAATGATTGGGAGATAGATACAGACACAAACTGAAGAAGAAAGGAATAGTATTTAGTGCTATTTAGTGTTTTGTAGGCTTTTGTTTCCTTAATGCATGTTCTGATCGATGGCATAGCCACCCTCCCCTTTCTCTTGAATAAAGATATTTAAAAAGCAACAGTGTATTCAATGGTCTTTATAACTTTATATTGTGGTTATATACTCCAGATCGGAGCGGATATATATATATAACAATAACTTATATAAAAAAAATAGAGTTAATACCATCTGAGATCCTCTGAGTATAGTGATTTTGCCACGTTTAGTGTTAAACTTTCAAATTGACCACATGTGATCCTTCGACTTTCAAATTGTAACCATTCGTGGTCCAAGTTAATCATCTATGGTCCTTCAATTATTAAATTTTAACGAGCAAATACCAATTTTAGTCCCACGAGTATTAGCAAACTGACGATTTTGGTCCACATATTTAATTCCTACCAATTTTCATCCACGACTATTATTCTAGTACCGAAATTCATCACGTCGGTCACTCCTCTATTTAAGACATGCCGAAATCTAAAAATTTTAAGGGTATTTTCGTCCTTTTCAACTTAAGATTCCAATTTGAGCATGAATAAAGGGATTTAAGGCCTAAGATCGATCCCAATTCGCCGTTCTCCTCCTCATCCAACCATAATTTGAGGAGGAGACTGCGAATTGGGATAGATCTTAGAGATTAAATCTCTTTATTCATGCTCAAATTGTGATCTTAATTTGAAAAGGACGAAAATACTCTTAATAATTTCATATTTCGGCATGTCTTAAACGAAAGGGTGACCGGCATGATGAATTTTGGTACTAAAACAATAGTCGTGGATGAAAATTGGTAGTAATTAAACATGTGGACCAAAACTGTCATTTTACTAATACTCATGGGATCAAAATTGGTATTTGTTCAATTTTAACCAACCATGGTCCTTACAAGTGGCCCATGGCTGGTTAAGTTTCAAAAGTTGAACGACCAGAGGTGGTTAACTTGGACCACAAATGGTTAATTTTGAAAGTCGAAGGACCGCAGATGGTCAATTTAAATGTTTAGGACTAAACGTGACAAAATCACTATACTCGGAGGATCTTATTTGGCATTAACTCAAAAAAAAATAAAAAAATATGATAGATATTTCCTTCTAAATAAGGTAGAGTATATACTAAAAATCTAAAATGGCGATGCTAAAAATCTTAGTGTTTTCAATTGCACGACGCAACGAATGGAGGATTTAGTGAATTACATATTACAAAAGGAAATCTTTTATGATTAATCAATAACTGTTCTTAAATATTGGCAATTCATGTAATTTGAAAAAATATTATCAGTATTTAGCATTAAGTATGGATTGCTAACTATTACGAATACAATCTATTTTTTATACATTAAGTTTTTTTTTTTTTTTTTAATCTTACGTTAGACTAATCCGAGTTGTTATACAGTAGACCATAGTCCACACAATACTATATGGACCACGATCCAATACGATTGTCAAATGAAACTACATTGGAGTTATAAAAAATAAAAAATAAAAAATTGTGCGAGATTTAGCTTAATGGTTCAAGAATCACGTACCTTGGAAGTCTTGCTTCAGTGACATGGTGGGACTTCAATGATGAAGACACCTTATTATGCGCAGAATATACAAACAGGGGTGAAAACTAAAGGCTAATTGGGTGACTTGCGATTTACCTCCTTCGGCGTCCTTGGGCAAAGGTTCTGGGGTCTTAGGATTAATCGAAAATTTTTATTGTGGACTATGGTCCATGTAGCAGCAAGGACCATAAAGTAAAATGACGTCAGATTATTTCAATTAAACTTCAGTTTCATTTGACAATATGGTTACATGACTCTATTTCTTAGTTTCATTTTTCACGCACATTAGTTTCATTATAGCAACACTAAGTATCATTTTAATTATACTACAATTTTATTTAACAGTATACGTTATTGAATGAGCTTTATTTTTTTAAGAGTTAATTCCACCGAAGATTCGATCCCTTGTCTTTGGTGGTAATTTCAAATTTAGTCATAAACTATCATTTTTGTCATTTAACATCCTATATAATTTTATTTATTTATTTTACTACATTAGAGAAAATTAGTAATAGGTACAATATAATATCTTTTTCTTGAATTTTCAAAGTGACAAAGTATATGGAAGACGACATAGGCTCCATTTGGCAAATTTAGCTGAAAAGCTATAAGCTAGAAGCTGAAAGGTGAAAAGAAGATAAAACTGAAAAGCTATAAGCTCGGAGATGAAAACTGAAGAGCGGTTAAACTAGCTGCTATGATTGAAAGTGTTTGGTAAAATTAACTTTTTGATAAGCTGATAAATGTAAAAAAGACTAAAAAGGACATCTTCATAAAATTTAAATTAGTTTGTTTACATATTAAAATTTAACATTTTGTCTTTAAAAAAATTAACATTTTGAAATAAAAGTATTAGCATAATCATGATCTAGCATCTCATAATGAAGTAGCAATATTGTTGCAAATCAAATAATAATAATAATAATAATAATAATAATAATAATAATAATAATAATAATAATAATAATAATAATAATAATATTTGCGATGAAAGTTACGGATAAAGGAAGAGAGAAAATATTTGCGATGAAAGTTACGGATAAAGGAAGAGAGAAAATGGTTTTAATTGGGAAGGGTAATTTATGTCATTTATTTAAAATAATAAGGATAAAGATGGAAAAAAAAGTTAGGAAGCTAGGAGCTTATTTTGAAACGCTACCTAAGGTAGCGTTCCAAAATAAGCTCTTATTTTAAGCTTAGAGCTTATTTTGGGAACATTACCAAACAGATCTTATAGCTTATTAGTAGCTTAAAATAAGCTATAAGCTCCTAAATAAGCTCTGCCAAACAGAGCCATAAGGTGTTGCATTTCGTTTTATGCTATATATATATGAAATAAACATAGTAGTGGTGATATACCATTTCATGAATTTTGTAATACATTATTAGTATGACTGTCACTATGGTATTTATAATTTTATTAATTATTAAATTAAATTAGAGAAACATAGTAATATGTATGTGTGTATATTCTTTAAAATATCTTTAGAGTTAATTGTATTTTTGACTTCTTCAAAATAAGGGATAATCAATAATGCAGAAAACAACATAGTATAGTGCACCTCGCTTTCTTCTATACACATTAGATAAACATAGTATAGTGGATAGTACTGGATACTATACATTTTCTAGAATACTCTAATACATTATTAGCAAACATATCACTATAATTTTTATAAATGTATTAATTTTTTTACTAAATTGAATATACTTATTAGTAATTGGTACAGTATGGTACTCCATATCTTTTAATTTTTAAAATTTTTTAAGAGCCAATTGTATTTTCTGATTCACCTAGGGTGTTGCACCATGTGTTAATAACGACTAAAAATTTTAGAAAAAGTGTAGGACCCACTACTATATATTATTTTTAATATATGTAGCTGTCACTATAACATATATTTTTCTCATTTTTAATACATGATCAACATAGCTGTCACTATAATATTTATAATTTTATTAATGTGTAATATTTGATGTTATAATTTAAATAATTATATATCGATTCAAATATACTTAATATATTACAATAAATTCATTTCGTGCATCGCACGGACGAAAATACTAATTTTATTAATATTTTTTACTAAATTAGTAAAACATGATCAACATAGCTGTCACTATAATATTTATAATTTTATTAATATTTTTTACCAAATTAGTGAAACATAGTATTAAATACATACGTTACAAAATCTTTTCTGGTTTTAATTGCCAGCTATATTTTTTACTTAGTTAGGGTGTCGCACCTCGTTTTGTGCTACTATATATTTATGTTATTGTTACTCTTCTAAATCACCCTAACAAAAAAAAACATCTCCTATCTGTTGCAAGAAATGGAACACGGAAATGCCAAATTCTACATGCCTTTTCGTCCAGAAACCTGCTCAGAAAAATTGGTTTGAATACACCAAACCCCATTTTTTTTTACTTGTAACCTGTTTTTTATTATGTTTGATTGTTGTTTTGATCTTGTTTTTTCTGTTCTTGAAACTAATATAAGGTTTGTATATGTTTTCTTGACAGGAAATTCCCAAGTGGTTCAAGTGGTTATGGGGAGATTTTGTAGATGTTATTCCAACAGAGGTGATTCTCAGGAATCGTTTGATGAACACTTGGAGAGTAGGGATAACAAAAATTGGGGAGAGTTTATATTTCAAGAATGGTTGGGCAAATTTCGTGGCGGATAACTCTATCAAAACTGGGGATTACATGGTATTCCGGTTTGATGGTTATGGCCCGTTCGAGGTTCTAGTGCTTGGAGTTGATGACCTAACTGATTGGGATAAGGCGATAATAAGGATGGATGAAGAAGATGAAGAAACACAAACTCAAGGAGAAAGGAAGACTATTTAATTTAGTGATATTATGTTAAATGTTTTCTAGTCTAGCCTAGCCTGCTTGCTAGGCTAGATGTGTTTTATTTGTTTCCTTAATGTTCTGATGGCATTCTAGTTTTGTTCTGCCCAAATTATTAAAATCTATATTATTAATGAAATCATGGTTTTTCACTAAAGAGATTATAAATATTATAAAAGCCTCTTATAAAATTCTAAAGACATAATAATAGGTACGTATGACATATTGTTATCTTTTCTAAAACTTTTTAAGAGAGTGTTGTCCTTCAAAATAAGGGAGAATGATGTTACACTTTTTTTTTTTTTTTTTTTTTTTGTAAACTATTTATGTTAGAGAAACATAGAACGGATAGAAGTGAGTCATTTACCTCTTCTAGAATTTTTTATTACATTATTAACATAGCTGTCACTATAATATTTATAATTTTATGATTTTTTTTACTAAATTAGAGAAACATATATAGTAATACATGGTTGTGGTTATGTTGTCTGGTACCTTTTATAATTTTTTATAATTAGAGAAAGTGTCTTTTTAACTTCTGCAAATGATGTTTTTTGTGAGCCCAAGGAGAGAGAGAGAAAAAACGAAAAAAGCTAGATGTCGTGCGTGTTTCGTGCACAGCAAACGCCCAGCCGGGCGCGTACGCGCTGGCACATTATACCATTTTTTTTTAGGCATTAGATGCATCAGTTTTTTTTTTTTTTTCTTGTTCTCTTTCTTTCATCTCTCTCCTACCACGATCATTAAAAACCGTGAAAAAGTTAAACTTGTATGGATCGATGCTCTTACATTAGAAAAACATAATAGTGGTCCATTTACCGTTTGTAGATTTTCCTATAATACATTATTAGCCCAACTGTCACAATAATATTTATAAATTTATTAATTTTTTTACTAAATTAGAAATGAATAGTCATAAACACGACACAATATGTTTTCTAGAAATTTCTAAGAGCGTATTAAACTTTTGACCACCTACGATGTTACACCCTATTTTGTACTATATATATTTATGTTGTTACTCTTCTAAATCACCCAAACAAAAACCATCTCCGATCTGTTGTTAACGTTGGAAATGACTGCCTCAAAAAAATTCAGATTCTGCATGCGTTTTTGTCCACTAACCTACACAGAAAAAATGGTTTGTATACTATACACTAAACCCCAATGCAATTTTATACTTAGCTTGTAAATTGAATAATCAAAAGGTGTTTAATTATTAGTGCTAGTTTCGTGTATTAGTGATCCAGATTAGTGAAATCATAATTAAAAAGAAAAATAAAAAATTACTGAAATTAATCATTTCAGCACCCATACACAGGTAATGCAGCAAAGTCAAGAAGCTATTATGTGTTAGTGCTAGTTAATGTTTTTTTGCCATTACCTATAATCTGTCACTCAAAAACAAATTGAACGGAACCATGGTAGCGGGCCTAGTTATATTAATGTTTGCTAATGTCACCCACATATACTTGTGTCCTTTAATGTTATGATGACATAGTGCTAGGTATAACAGATGAAACTATTTTGTTTGCTGATCGATACATACATTTACTAGATGCTTTACAACTCCCCAGAATGTTGAGTTGGCTTTTGCCATTTTTAAGCACCATTACACAAAAGTAATGGATTGTGGACCACATTCTTCTATGGGAAACTTGATTTTGAAATTGTATTATTTAATCCCTTTTATGCTTTTAGTCTTCAATGTCACAAGAAGAAGAAGAAGAAGAAGAAGCTCCGATCTGTTCTTGGACATGGCTGGCTCAGTAACAACTTTCAGATTCTGCAAGCATTTTGGTCCAGAAACCAGCTCACAAAAATTGGTTTGTATACATGAAACCCCGTTTTTATTCCGTTCATGTTAGATTATATTTATATCTAATAGTTCGATCAAGAATGTTGCCTGTTTTTATGTGTGTTTAGTTGTTGTTTAGATCTTGCTTTCCTGTATTGATCTAGGATTTTCTCATTAATTTGTTTATACAATCGGACATTTTCCCTAATAGGAAATCCCCATCTCGTTTAAGGAATCTGTGGGAGGAGTTGTTCCAAAAAAGATAATTCTTAGGAATTGTTTTAAGAAAGTTTGGAGCATGGAGATGACAGAAACGGAAGATGGTTTGTGTTTTCAAAACAATTGGGCAAAATTTGTGGAAGATAACTCTATCACAAATGGAGATTGCTTGGTTTTCTCCTATTGTGGTTATAGCCTGTTTGACTTTGTCTTATTTGACCAATTTGGATGTGAGAAGATAGTAGTGAAAGATGCACAGCCCCAAGTAAAAAAAGAGGTGAAAGAAGAAGATGAAGATGATGATGTTGTTGTTAATGATGATGACAACAACGATAATGACGATGGTGACAGTGACGATGAAGGTGATGATAGTAATTTTGTTAATGACGAGGATAAGAATGAAGAAGAGGATGATGGTGGCAGTGGTGATGATGAAGATGATAGTGATTTTGTTATCAAGGAGGTTAAGAATGAAGTAGAGGAAGATGATGAAGAAGTAAAGGCACACATGTTGGGGTTTACAAAGTCTAAACAAAAAAGAAACAATTCTTGTAAGCTACTTTTGGTTCTTGATTCTTGATTTTCCATATATGTTATATGTTTTATATGTTTTTGAAATAATAGTTTTTTTTAGGTGGATTCAAGAAATGTTCGGGTGCAGGCGAGGGAAGTTCTAGCAAGAAAAACAAGAATGTTTTTGACCATTTTGGAATTGAACTTTTCTCGTCAGGGCAATACATTCAGCCTAACAACCCTTATTTCGTGACAAAACTAGGACCAAAAAACCGCAGTGCTTTGGTAATAATTCCAAACATTTCTTGTCAATGAGAAGTAAAAGATTGTAGAAATATATAATTTCTTGTCTATCTTGATTATAATCATGTGTTTTTCAATATTTTTGCAGTATATACCAATGCATGTTATTAAGGACCACAATATTGCATTGCCTCCAACTTTAATCCTCCGAGACACAAGAGGCCAAGAATGGAAATCAAAGGTTAAGATTTGGAGGGATGGGAGGACATGGGTGAGTGAAGGATGGCAAAGTCTATGCAAATTGAACCTTGTTGACAAAGATGACATCTGCATTTGTGAATTTGTGCATCCAAACACAAATGACATGTTATTACAAGTCACTATTGTTCGAGGACAGACCACAAAGAACATGGAGTAAAAATCACCTTTAATTATTGCTGATTAATATTTTCTTATCTAACCCAGATGTAATTATGACCTTAGAGTAACCCCAATTGGAGATCTTGAATGGTATTTGGTATAGTAAAAATCTCGTGTCTTGATTTTAAACTAATGTAGAAGCTAATTTTTTGTTGAATTTTCCTATTGCACTAATGTAGAAGCTAATTTTTTGTTGAATTTTCCTATTGCACGTGAAGGGTTTTTGTCAGAGAAAAACAAAAAAAAAAACAGGCGCTTAAGCGCACAGTGGATTCGGGTCTAGAATACAAATTTACATACTGAAATGTTCACAATTTAAATTGTAAACATTTAGTATGTAAATTGTGTATATTCAGTATGTAAATTATGTATTTTTAAATTTGGGTCACCTTGCAAGGTAGATCCAAGTTCACAGCATAATTTGCCTTTAAACATTTTGGAGACTTTCAAGTTGGGACTAAAGAACAGATTTGGGTGTATGCCATGTTTGCAAAATTAGCCCAACAAGGTATGTGAATTGGGGCTTTTACTTGTTCGACAAGCCATATATTATCTCCCATCAAGTGGCAATTTATATCGTGGACCAAGGTTTACAGTGCACTGTGAATTTTGGTCTAATACTTAGAATTTGACTTCATATATGTATAAAATTTATATTCATAATACACATACACATAAACACAATATAATGAAGACACATAAACACTGAACATAAAATCACAGAATTCATATTTATAATGTACAAAATTAGTGTTCATAATACACAAAATTCTTGTTCATTATATCATATTTATATGTATGTGTAATTATGTATTATGAATATAAATTTTATGCATTATAAACATGAATTCGATACATTATTAAATTAAATTATGTGTATGGACACTGTGGACCCTGGTCCACAATATAACGATTTCCATCTAAGTCCAATTCCATTTATATATGGAAATGACTTGCATTTAATATGCACAATAGTTTCCTTTATAAAATTTATTAATTCTTTTACTAAATTAATTAACTTAATAATTGGTACATTATGGTACTCGTATCTTTTAATTTCTTAAATTTCCAAAGAACCAATTGTACTTTTGACTCACCTAGGGTGCTGCACCTCAATTTCTTCAATATATATATTAGAAAAATATAGTAGTGGATCTCATACGTTCTCTAGAATTGTTAAATACATTATTAACAGATGTGTTAATAACGAGTACCATTATCATCTTCATCATCACCACTACCACCATCATCCTCTTCTTCATTCTTATCCTCGTCGTTAACAAAATTACTATCATCACCTTCATCATCACTGTCACCATCGTCATTATCGTTGTTGTCATCATCATTAACAACAACATCATCATCTTCATCTTCTTCTTTCACCTCTTTTTTTACTTGGGGTTGTGCATCTTTCATTACTATCTTCTCACATCCAAATTGGTCGAATAAGACAAAGTCAAACAGGCTATAACCACAATAGGAGAAAACCAAGCAATCTCCATTTGTGATAGAGTTATCTTCCACAAATGTTGCCCAATTGTTCTGAAAGCACAAACCATCTCCAGTTTTTGTCATCTCCATGCTCCAAACTTTCTTAAAACAATTCCTAAGCATTACCTTTTTTGAAACAACTCCTCCCACAGATTCCTTAAACGAGATGGGAATTTCCTATTAGGGAAAATGTCCGATTAGATAAGCAAATTAATGAAAAAATCCTAGATCAGTTTCAAGACAGGAAAGCAAGATCTAAACAACTAAATACAGTACACATAAAACCAGGCAACATTCTTGATCAATTACTTTTGTGTAATGGTGCTTCAAAATGGCAAAAGACAACTCATTCTGGGGAGTTGTAAAACATCATGTAAATGTATCAATCAGCAAACAAAACAGTTTCAGCTGTTATACCTAGCACTATGTCACCATATATAACATTAAGGGCATAAGCATATCTGGGTTACATAGCAAACATTAATATAACCAGGTCGATTAGCATGGATAGTTCAATTGGTTTCTGAGTGACAGATTGTGGGTAATGACAAAAAATAAAAAATAAAAAATAAAAAAAATAAAAAAAAAACATTAACTAGCACTAAACATTATAGCTTATTTACTTTGCTGCATTACCTGTGTATGGGTGCTGAATTGATTAATTTCAGTAATTTTTGTATTTTTCTTTTTAATTATGATTTCACTAATCTGGATCACTAATACGTGAAATTAGCCCTAATAATTCAGTTTGTAGCCTTTCAAGTTGGGAGAGAAGAACAGATTTGTGTATATGGGCAAATTATGTTGTGCATCCGTATGCACCATGCATGGTGCATACGGATGCAAAAACGACGTTGTTTTAATAAAACGTGCGTCTCCTCTTAAAAAAAAAATCTTCGATTTGCAGCAACAACATATGAACTATAATTCATAATCGATGAACTATAATTCCATAATCAATGAACTATAATTCCAGAATCTAATCTATGAACTAAAAATTCCAGAATGAATGAACTAACAGGGCGTTTGGTTGGAGGGGGGGAATTATGTGGGAAAGGAATTGTAATTCCATGGGAGTTGAATTACTGGGAATAAAGTGAGAATTTAAATTCCAGTGTTTGGTTGACAGGAATAGAATTACTGGGAATTTCAATTCCAATGTTTGGTATACATGGGAATTGAAAGGGAATAAGTAGTATAAAGTCAAAAATGTCCATTATTATTGTTAGACATTAATTTTAGGTTAAAAAGGGAAGAGATAATTTTGACTCATCACTATCTTTTTTTTCCCAGGAATTAAAATACCAGGGGGGGACATGGGATTTTAATTCCATAAAAATGGGGGAATTGCAATTCCCTCCAACCAAACTACGAAATTTAATGGCTTTTGGAATTATGTGGGAATTAAGTGGGAAGGGAATTTAAAATCCCTCCAACCAAACGCCCTGTTAAAATTCCATAATCTATTAACTAAAATTTCATAATCGATGAACTACAATTCCAGAATCGATGAACTATAATTCCATAATCAATGAACTATAATTCCATAATCTATGAACTAAAATTCCAAAATAAATGAACAATATAATGTTGTTGCAGGGAAATGGGAATCGAACCTGGATTTTTTTTAAAAGGGAAACGCGCATTTTTTTAATAAAACGACGTCGTTTTGGCATCCGTATGCACCATGCATGGTGCATACGGATGCACAGCATAACTATTGGTGTATATGCCATATTTGCAAAATTAGCCCAACAAGGTATGTGAATTGGAGCTTTTACTTGTTCCACAGCCCATATATTATCCCCCATCAAGTCTATCAAGCCCAATTCCATTTATATCAATCGTTATACCCTACACCACGGCGCACATAGTACTGTGCGCCGCGCGCGCGCCTCCCAAAACGACGTCGTTTTGGGAGGCGTGGTAGGAAGTTGCTGGGATTATGTGTATTTGTTCACACAGTTATGTGTATTTGTTCATACAGTTATGTGTATTGGTTCATACAGTTATGTACATTTTTTATACAATTATGTACATTCTTTTTATACAATTATGTACATCCGAATCAGAAAATTTGTGTGTATTATGTTAATAGTTGATGTGTATTATGTTAAAAGTTTATGTTTATTATGTATTATGTTAGATTATGTGTATTATCTTTTAAAAAGAGTATGTATAGTTTGTTATATAATTATGTACATTCATGTATACAATTATGTGTATTCCAGTATAACATTATGTACATTCTTGAACAGCGGGTTTTTTTTTAAAGAAAAAACTACTGCCATTCACTGGGGCGGAAAATTTCAAAAAAAATAAAATAAAATTAAAACGACGTCGTTTTGCATCTGAGCGCATAGTGCAACGCGCGCCGTGGTGTAGAATATAAATTGCCCATTTATATATGGAAGTGACTTGCATTTAATATGCTCAAAAATTTCCTTTATAAAATTTATTAGAGAGTATTATTCTCGTCACATAATCTGATTTCGTTCAAAGAAGCAAAAAAAAAAAAGTAAAAAAAATTGTGGCCACACTTTAGTAAAAAGTGGAAATGTGATATCTTTGCATAATTATGCATGAATGAATTATTCACCTTTCTTTTAAAGTTCCTCGCCTCAAAGATCCATATTTAGACTTATTAACAATATTTTGGAGGGATAAATTATGATAATTTGGTCTCTTAGGTGAAAAGGGACCAGCAAAATTATGCATGAATGAATGAAGAACAATTGCTGTTAAATACCTTGTGGTTGAGCGACATAATTGTAACTCTTTTAAATAGGAAGTCAGAGGTTTAGACCTTACAATACTACATTGTAACAGAATGAATAGTACTTAAAAAAAAAAAAAAAAAAAAAAAAAAAAAAAAAAAAAACCTACAAAGTTGCCTCATTTAAAGTATGAATTGACGTATCACCTCCATCCTTAAAATAATCACTCATTCTTTTTTTTTTTTTAAAGACAAATAATGACTCATTCCTAGTAGTACGATTTAATTTTAATACAAGGCATATCATGGTCTTTTATTTTACTTGATTAAAATTTTCAAATCAACTTGACATGTTAGATAAACTTTACTGATAAAATATACATATATTGAGATTAGTCTTACACTTATAGTACATGATGTTAATTAATTGATCGAGAAGATCAATAATCCGATCAAAACAATATACATATATGTCATTATTTATTTGGCAATCCAAATAATAAGACAAATTCAAAATCAAATTATATGTTTAAACATGCCTGTCTTTTTTTTTTTCTTTTTTGTTTTTAAAGTGAAAATTTTCTTGATTTTCCGTGGAGAAATATCCGATGAATTATCATATAATTTGCAGACCGATCAACATGCTAAGGTGAAGAGGCAAACTCACATGGAGAAGCACATGCTCTGTGCAAACGTAATTCTATCACTTAACTATTCCCATGTCACATTTTTCTAATTATTTTGATATCTCCTGCCTTGTCACCCTCTGTCTATTTCGTTAACCAATGGGATTTAAATTTTATTAAAAAAAAAAATTAGCTTGAGTAATTAATCCAATCATATAGTCCTCTTGCAATTGTTATACTATAGATCAGGGTTCATTTTGGTTTGTGGATCCTAATTCCAAAATTATGTGTCTATAGTTGATATATTATCTACCTGTAATTAATAATCTATGTGTCTGTAAATAAATTGAAGACACATAACATGTTAAGGACATATCAGACACATAAAATGATAACTGCAAACACATAAACGATTAATTACAGATACATAATAAATTAACTGCAAACACATAATTTAATCCATGGCATAATTATTTGTCCTCTTATTGGGACCCAATTTTAAATTGTGCCCATCAATAGTCAAGATGTAAGCAGATTTAGTCCTTACTTGAATAGAGTGGCAAATTTGATTCCTAAATGTGCTTGCTATATAAATTACTTTTTATGTGGGGATTGTGGACTATTACATAAAAATAGAGTTTATCCAATGCGCACCTTCAATAATGGCTGCAGATTTTTCTCAGCATCCAAAAAATAATAATAAAAGAAAGAATACATTAAAAAAAAAAAAACTTTTCTATTTTTTATGTAGGCAAGAAATTAAAAGGGAACAAAAGAATATATGTACAAATTAAAAAAGGGAAATGAAAACGCGTTTGATGTAAACATGTGGCAAATTGCAAAAAAAAAAAAAAAAAAAAAAAAAAAAAAAAAAAAAAAAAAAAAAAAAAAAGTGGGGATAAAGTATTGAGTGAAGAAAACATCTTATTGATTCCATGCATAGATTTTTATACAAGAATTATACATAGATAAAAGACAATCATGTAGTTACGGTAACAACCCATCAACCACAGAGACTAGCTCAAAGCCTAAAAAAAAAAAAAAAACAAATAATTGAAACCAACGAACACTAATATTAAACTTTATCGGGACAGATAATTCAAGAGGATAAAGTAAAATTTATTTTCGAGGATAGATCAGAGAGCAGATGCAACCTAAACCAACGTTTGTAGCAAACCATCCATGTGATATCATTGAATGCACTATTTTATAATTTAATTTGTAGTGTTTGTTTACTTGATTGAATTGAATAATGTTGTGTCGTTGAATTGTGTTCATGTGGACAACAGGTTACTTAGGATCCAACTAACAATCTATCCTTTTTCCCATTCTTTCAAATATATATATGAAATGACTACAGACACAACCTATTACCTAATGTCTGGTTTTGGCAAAATGATTGATCCATGACATTGATTGGCATGCATTCATTATTAATGGTAGGAATGCAAGTAATATTCTGAATAGCGAGTAGGTGAAGTATGATTCTCGTATCTAAAAATCACGACTTTAATTCTTGTTAACATCTTTTCAGTCGAGTCCGTTGTATAGAATTTTTCGACTTAATTAACCTAATTGTAATATTAATTGTTCATAAATTCGCTAATATCATTACGAGATGTCAGAATTGCATCGAATAACGAAAAATTTAATAGAAATGATTGACATCTCTTAAACAAGACAAATATACGTAATATGTGTAGTGATCTCATTGGCTAATAAAAATGTGCCAAAATAAGGTGTATCGA